AGATAGTAATACAAAATTAGTTACTGAAAACATGATTATTTGATGATAGTAACTTAACAACTGATCATTTTTCACACTTTAATGTATATTTATTAGAAATAATAGACACTTTATATTATTAATTTTTTATTATAAATAAATTTTTATCTTTACAATTTTTATTTATGTAAATATTTAATTTGAAATGTATTTTATATACATTTGGTTCGTTTCAAATAATAATATCTAAACCTTAAATTTATTTATGTTAATAATAAAAGCTAGATTTAAATAATAAAAAAAATTTGTACAAAAGATAATGCAGGCGATATTTTTTAGAATAATCTTTAGCTTGGTGGCTCGTTAGAATCATTTATTTTTTATCGCTAACTGCAAATTATTTACTCTAATCTCTGCGTTGTTTAGATAGTGGGTTTTCTATTAATCATTATAATAATTTAATTTGAGAAATTAAAATTGTATATCTATACGGCGTGTGTGTAGGCATCTCATTTGCGTTTTTACAACTCTCTCGTTAGCCCATTGATAGCACATCTGACGGTCAGATTCTGACCGCGAAGCGGTTCTAATCTCAGGTATTAATGATTTCATCGGGCGGGTCTAGAGTTCGGATAGATTTTCCTATAGGATTTAACATGGGGAAATACCCGAAATTGTGCTAGAACTTCTGTGCTACTTTATTGAAATATTGAAATTAATACTAATGGATATAATAAAAATTTTAATATATCAGATAATTGCACCATTTTTAATTTAAAATTTTTGGATTAGATGCGAAGTGTTAAAAACTAAACTTAATTTTTATCCTATGTTCTTGTAGTACTAGTGTCTTTTAGAATGCTTGTATTTAGATGAAAAAATGTTAAATGATTTAGAAAAATATACTTAATAACTTACCTTTGAGTTTTAATAATGATTGTTGTCAATAAAAACAAAATAATTTAAAATAAACAAATAAATTTATTTCAATAAAAAATATTATATATATATACATTGTATATATTGATAAATTAAAAACTAACTAATAATCTAAAGTTCCTATGAAGTTTATCAACAAGTTCTATTTATCGTTTGTGTTTCATGGTATAGCTGTGGGAATACTAAAATTAAAAGGTACTCCAAGAGCTTTAAATATTGTATAAGGTTCTAAGGTTTCTAACTTTCTAATTTTTCCCCTAGATATTCAACTTGTTTTTTAGTAACATTAGTTGGTACTGTAATAACTTTAAATATATCATTCTTTTTTTTAACTCCTAATTTTTTTCTTCTAGATGTTGAAAATGTTTTTTATTTATATCCAAAACCTTTTCAATCCACACAATTTTGTTACTCATAGCATCACGTGCCTTTACATGTGCTTTTGAAATATTCTTTAAAGGCTCTAAATCGTTAATAATTTTTGTTTATTAAGTTCTACATTTTGTTTTTTTTAAATCCAATATACTTTCTTCATATTGTTGTATTTTTGTTTTATTTTTTTCAAGTTCTTTGGCGCATTTATCGTAATTTACCAGCGATTTTTTTTTTAAATTTTTGAATTGATTTTAATGTATCTTGTTCAAATTTACTAAGCGAATTTAATATATTATCGAAAAAATCTGAAAATATTTTATCAACATAGCCCATATTAGCAGCATCTGCATTTAAAGTTGGTGATTTTACATTACATATTTTTAGGTTTTCTGTGTCAATATTACCATCGGGAGTATATTTAAGACCCTTGTTACCATACTGTAATTTTGATAGTATCGAATTTGTGTTAGATGGTCCTTGTAAAGATTGACCGAACTTGTTAAGAGGCATTTGGTTTTAATTATGTTTAAGCGTTAATATATAATACCAGCTTCTTTTAATTCATTTTTGGAGGCTACCAATAACTTTAATCTGTCAACCAATTCGTTTACGTCATCCCAATAAATGTATTCTCTTGGTTTTTCATTGTATGTTACCAAGGTAGGCGATGCTCTGCCAAACCCAATTTTTTCAGTATGTTCGTTAGGATCAAAATTTATTTTATGCGCGATTGTAACCATAACAAGTTTACCAAATGTTTGAAAATCTGAAGTTATGTAATTCTTGGGATTTTGTTTAAACATTAATTCGTACAGTCCTGGGGACCCCTTGAAAAAATGATTGTTTACAAAAAAATCAGGACCTTTAAAGTCCACAGTTGAATCCCCAAATTTGATCTTGCCTGTCTCCAAATCGTGGTGAATATAAGTATGATTATATTAATTGCTAGTATCTCTCATATGTCCTTCAACAAAATTTCTAGGTAATTCATTGAAAAAATCCAAATATTCTGCTTTATAATCTTCCGGAATTGTTTTCATGATTGATTCGTTGTCGAGTGTTCTATTTAAGCCTAATTTATTATCATAAAAATCATTTGGATCATGTTCATAAATAGTTTCATTTCCAGAAAATGTGGGGTGGGATGTTTTATTGGGGTCATATTCACTTTTATAAAAATCATTTGGATTATTTTCATTAGTGGTGTCATTTTTAGGAAAACGAATGCTTGAGAAATTTAATGATTTATCTTAAGCTTGAATATCTTTTCTGGGGGATGATTTAAGTATTTTATCAATGGCTTTATATTTTATAGGAGATTGTTTTTTATTTTTTTTGCTAGCTGTAATAAATCTTCTTCTTCAGCTTCTTTTTTCACAAAATCCGTATCATATGCCATCTTTAGAAGAGGCTTTATGATTGGTCTAAAATTTTTATCTAATGTATCATCATTTTCAGCTTTCCCCAATTTAAAAGCTAAATATTTTTTTCCAATATTTCGAGAGAGTTCATTAATTTTTTCAGTTACATTGACAGTGGATGGTGCCATGATTACTAATGATACTAAATATAGTTGTTTTATATATTTATATATTTATCAAACCCCTTTCGATAACGCCCATTGTTTAAACGGAAGTCTTTAATAATTACCAAACAGCCAGCAGTTTTTGTGACAGTTTTGCAGTATTTCTAGCAGTTTTTCAGTATTTCTAGCATTTTTTGTGACTGTTTTGCAGTTTTTTATCAGTTCTTGCGAGAGTTTTGCAGCATTTATAGCAGTTTTGCAGTTTTTATAGCAGTTCTTGTGACAGTTTTGCAGATTTTCTTGCAGTTTTTGCAGTTTTTCTATCGGTTTTTGTAACAGTTTTGCAGTTTTTTATCAGGTCTTGCGACAGTTTTGCAGTATTTATAGCAGTTTTTGCAGTTTTTCTATCGGTTTTTGTGACAGTATTTCCAGAGGTTCTATCAAGATTATAAGGTTACTTAGCAAAAATATTAATAACAGTTTAAAGTCTAAAAATAATAAAACCGATCATTTTATTTAAAACATCTGACTTTAACAAGTTTAATTTTTTCCTTTGTGTGTTGCATGATTATGGTGTGGTGTAAGTGTGACTACTAATATTAGCAGGCACTGTAATCACTTTTAATATATTTCAATAAATTTACTTGTTTAAACGAAAATCTTTTATAATAGCTAAACAACCATAATTTTAATTCCAACATTCTGAGCATATTTTCTTAAACTAATCATAAGTCATATCAGGTAAGACATGTTCATCAAATACATGTTTTAAATTCATATCATCCTGTCTAAATAGCACAATAATATTACAATTATCACGTATTAATTGTTTTGGTATTTTTGAATATGTTTGACATAAGTATGCAGCGTCTATGTTTTTATGTCTACACATTGAATAGTATTCGCGTATTTTATTTTGTTTATCACAAGCTACATCATCAAATATGAAAAAACACCTTTTACTTTGCTTAAAACATTTTGTAATAATTAATATTTTGATTGGAAAAGCGATTTTGAATAAACGTAAATATTTTCAAATTTAGCTCCATTAGGATTAAATATTAAACTTAATACAGCATTTGTTTTACCACACCCACTAGGATCACAAAAAATTGCTCTAAAGGAATTACCATGTTTACTAGCATCAGAACTGGTTTCCAATAAATCTAAATTATTTATAGGTAGTTTTTCGGATTGTTGAACGCAACGCATTTTAGGAACTAAACTCAAATAGTTTTGTTAAGGAATATATAATAAAGTTTATTCAATTAACTTAACAACAGCACGTAATTTTTGGTAACTTATTTAACACCTCATTAGCTTCTTTCACATAAAATGAAACCAAACAACATGGACATGTATCTGGACCTTCATCCGAATTTGACCAGGGGCACGTCTCAAAATGTTTACCACACTGGTTATTTACAATATTAGCATTAAGATGCTGCTCCAAAAATTCTTTTTGCCTAATCCATTTTTTAATTTTATCCTTTTTCAAAAATTCTCGATATATTTCTTGTTGAGTAGGATATTTATTTTCAAATTTTTCTTCACCTTCTTTACCACATTTTTCCAAAAATTTATCAATATTTTGGATTGCCATTTCAATTTCCTCTGCACTAATCATTATTACTCCGATAATATTAAGACTAAATAATACTTTTTAAAAATAGACTTGTTGGGACAAGTCGGATGACGTCATTAATATGCATATTAAATTATGATTTTTTCCCACCCATTTTTCCCATTGGTAACGTGACTAAAAAAGGGAGGGGGTGGTCTCAGGCCATTGGGATTAAAAATAGACTTGTTGGGACAAGTCGGATGACGTCAGCAATTAAAAATGGCGTCAAAAATGAAATTTGTATTATTAATAATAAATCCTTATCTCCAAATAGTGGATGCCAGGCAACCACTGTTAAGTCACGCCCACCCCCTTATCACTAGTTTCCGTTCCCTTATCTCTAGTTCGAAATTTTTGTATCGCTTATCTATAGGTGGCGCCACCTTCGGGTAACAGCGCTACCAACCCAACGCGCTACGTCACCTGTCTGGGTCACTTCCGGTGCAGTACTCTCTTTGTATCTCTACTGTTCGGGGTTGTTAACAATCTTGGTCTTTGGCTGATTTCCTTGCTGGCCCAATTTCCCCCAAAAACTGTTTAGCATAAGCTTGGCCAGACATCTAAGCCCCGGATTATTTAAAATTGCGTCGAATTCTAGTTTAATGCCCTCGCGATTGAAAAATTCTTCGATGTACTTGCTCTTTTGCTTATCAGATGCACTATTTCCGGGCCACCCTGAAGCCTCTTGTTTGATCTTGATGAACTTATTCATCATTTCTGTGAATAAGCCCCCAGTTTTCTGATCGATATTGTACTGTTCAATCTGATATTTCCACACCTCATCGATCTTCAATATTTCATTGCTTTTATCACCTCATCAATTACCCAGGTACCCGATAGCGCGCGGTCTTCTTCGGTGTGCAGGCATTCCCCATTAAACATGTTTTCTCCGCAGGTACGACAGAGAAAAAACATCAATTTATTGTTCATTTTTGTTGGTAAAACAGGGTGATACAAATTTAGAGGAGGTAAAACAGTGCATTTTATTACCCCGTCTGTTTCCTGCAAATTTATAGATTTGCATTGATCGCCAACAAAAACTTCGGGGTGACCAACGGGGTACTTGCCGTATTTACATACCCAAGGGTAAAGGGAGCAAACGCCCAGGGGCCCTATACTCCAGTTGTGAGATCACACGAAATCATGCAAAAGTGGGAGGAGCTACACAAAATCGTATGAAAGTTTACAAAAGCGTATTCTCGAAGGATTGATCATTTGTGATTTTTTCGGGCGAAGTGAACATCTCTTGGTAGAAAGTAGACGAACATGTAAATATTAGACAATGGCCACATAAATATAGCCTTAAAAGTAAATGCCATATTAGAGTTTCTTATTTGTTATTTTTAAACAATGAATTTTGACGAAATTGTATTAAACAATTTTATAAATGATCTTGAAGAACAAAATTGTTAAATATCGCGATTGTAACAATAGGTAAGTCAAATTTGATCGAGATGAAATTTAAAACAATCTGTGCACTTGCCAACGAATTTGATTGGCTACGAAATGCGACAACGCCGCAAAATGTTTCTCAACTGAAATCTCCCATCACATACTTTCGAGAATACGACTTTTCGGTATCATTCGATGACGGTTGGATGTGAAATATCCCATCACCGAAGTGATCTTTCGCTTCCCTTATTTTGGAGTATAGTGCCCCAGGTATTTAATCTTCTCATCCCATAGGGCTCTGTAATATGTCCTGCAATTTCCTGTACGCCCCCCGTAAAAAGCATCTCGCGGGTTTAGAGGCGAATGGGATAATAACGAATTATTTTGGACATATTTTCCTATTTCGGTGTTCTCGTGCATTTCCCGTCGGAAATCACACTCCCATTTTTCAATGACGTTATACCCTGCTGTTTTAAGTCTCTCGATTTTCGCCACTGTTGATTCGTACCGAAAATTCATTGATTCTGTAGGGTCATCTGTTAGAGGCTCGTCGCGATGGTGTTTAAAACATCTGAGGCACCCGTGATAATAGCATCCTTGAAACTCGAAAACTTGATTTTCGCAAAATCCATCAACCTTTAACCCTAATAAAATTGCCTCTTGCCCTCTGCCTGCGTGTTATATGGTGATTTTTCTCTGATTTTCTTCCCATACCATCCATTTCAACGCTATCATTGACTGGTTGTCTGTCATTCCATATCCACCCTTAGGAATAATACCAATTGTGTTTGGTTTAAGAAAATTTCTCCTAAACACTTTATTGCAGGCAGAGGCAATGGTACAGGCGTTGGTAATATTGGTTGGCCGCACAGACCACATAGACTGAACGTAAGGGCGATGCAGTTGAAGCCGGGTACAGGCCTATGCAGGCCCAGCGATCGCGATTTATCTCAGTTATAAATCGACCACCGTTCACGTCGTGATATTTTTTGTATTTATTTTAAAAACATGGGTAAATGTGTAGTGATAGGATGTAAAAATAGAACTGAAACCAAATACGACGAAAAAAATTATGTTATTAAATTATGTAAGTATAAATTAAATATATGAAATTGCAGAAATCGCGCTCTCCTCCGCTATTAAATTGGCTTGCGTCGAGGAAAATCAGAGTTGAATTAGTAAATTTCGAGCCCAATTAATTTCGGAGAGAGGTTATTTGTGCATGTTTACCATTGTTTGTTGTATATCATGTTTTTTATATATACATATATTATATGATTATATGATATATACATATATGTCATTTAGGTATATATAAAATTCGCCAAGAAATATATTAAACATTTCATGTATTAATAAAGTTTCAAGTTTTCATTCACTAAAATATTCATTATCAATTGTAGTTTCATTGTTTTTATAAATAAATTGATTCATTGTTTTTGTAAATAAATTTATTTTTTCCAAAGATCTTTATTAAGAATAACTATAAAAATATGTTAACTTTATGTTATTAGTTTGAAAGACATTAAATATTTCAATATATTTTCTTTTCTTTATTGACTTCGTAAATAAATTCATTCAGGCAAATATAAAATGGGTTTTGCAAATCTGTACCTCAGAGGTAAACTGTAGTAAGTCCAATATTATCTAAAATGAGATATTTAAAAAAAAATACTTAGTACTGCCTTATCCACTAGTCAAGAAATCATAGATATTAATATTTAAAAACTAATGCCATGATGATCAGTTATTAAATGTAAGAACTAGAAATAATTATGAGTTTAAAACATTTTTGACTTCTCCTGAACAATTTACTTAATACACTTTACCTCTGAGGTACAGGGTGATCCCCTATATTATAGTTATAGGGCCTATAACTTTAACTTTTTTATTTTAAGTGTCCCAAAAAATTTAAAAGTGTGGTTATGTAGATACTGTGTTGGCCCTTAGAATAAAAAACAACAGGAATGAGTCTTGTCATTCTTTAGCCGTACTAAAATTACGACGGAAGTCGGCCATTTGCAAGCTCCAAATTATGACACATTTGTGATGCTATATTTGTCAAAATTGAATGTTTTATGTGTTTGTCGGTGTTTTATGTTGTTTTTCTGGTTAAATTAACTTTAAATAAGCGTTTCATTGTTTCTAGACAATATTGTATTTGATATATTCTCGTTTAAGTGTAAATATTTAAAGTTTAAGATATAAATATTAGTGTTTAAGGTGTAAAAACAAATTATGGTTAGTTGTGCAGCTTGTGGTTGCTCCTTGAGCACAAAAATTAAAAATATTCATTTACATTTTATAGGTGAGTATTTTGGTTAAAGTTTAATTTATTTACTTATTGTATATTTTAAAATAATTAGTTGTAAATATTAAACATAAATCAATGTCAAATAACGTAACCTTAGAACATAACCATAACCTAAGATTCTTAGGCTAAGAACGTCACCATCATAGAAAAAACCATAGGCGTATCATATTTTCTGATACTAACCTAATTATTATAAAAATTAAACTTCAATTGTATTTACTACGCCACTGTCAAATAACGGGTTCCTGTATACATTAACTCACCCTTAAATTTCAATTTTTATTGTAAATTTATGTCATAAATGAATATAATACACTATTTTAGGCATATTTAGGTGCGGAAAAACCAAACTTTCGCTAAAATATATGTTTATAGTGTTAAATTCAACAAACTTTGCTTAAAACTATCACCTTTTCTATGTACTACACTGAATTTTAATCTGTCATAATTTCCAATGACAAAGCTATTTCTTGCAATGTTGCCAAGTTTAGAAATGGTAAAATTATTATTTTTTGATTTAAAATTAAATATTTATTGTACCAAAACAAAAGAAATGTATGTAAAAACTTTAATTAAATATTATTATTAAGTAAGTATGCACAATATTTTTGGTATTTACGAAAATAATGATATGTATCTTTGTAAATTGTAGGTAGGCAACCCAGATTGAAATTTAAGATAATATTTTAAATTGAATTGATTGAATTTGAATTATAATATTTTATTAAATAATAATCAAATACCAATAAATGTATCTACTTAATTAAACAATTAAATTCTGTTAAAATTTACTTTTGATTTTATTTAATGGCATGATTTTCAAATTTTGTTTCTTTTGTTTTAAAACAAAATTTGTTATTTTAGTTGTCATTTAATTGATAAAGTGTCAATTGTGATTTATTTTTGCTGTTTGCGTATTTGTTATATGTTGAAAAATGAATATTCAAAATATTACCAACGTTTTTGAGTTAACTTCGAAACCTGACGAAGAACTAATTACTGCCCTACAACAGGCTGGACTTTTAAAAGCCCAGTTTCGTTGCAAGGTAAGAAACTGCCGAAGAATGTGTGAATTAAGAGCCAGGGATGGACAGTTTGCTCTTAATCATGCATTTTACTGCCGCCCTTGTAAAAGGGAGTATAGCGTACTATCGGGAAGTTTCTTTCACCAAATGAGAGTGTCTGTCCGCGATGTAATCCACATCATGTGGTACTGGGCGTGTGAAGTCAGAACTGGCTCCGTCGCCCAGATCACGGGTACTCATCGCGGGCTATCCATTCAAACATTTCGGTATATAAGAGACATTTTATCTTGGAAATTAATGCAAGAACCATTTTTATTGGGTAAGTTCAATATTATATAATATTATCAACAGTTAAGTATACCTAATTGTTTTGAAAAAGTGCCAAGTACCTATAAAGAATAAACTGCAGTTTATTCTTTATCATGATCACGCCCATCTCGATTCGCTCAGCATTTATGTAAATTGATTAAGTTCACAAGTGGCCTGGGCGGGCTTGGTCAGTGCCTGAGCCCATTTTTGCGCGCACAAAATGGGCTCAGGCACTGACCAAGCCCGCCTCGCTTCGCTCGGCATTTAATTAAATTGATTAAGTTCACAAGTAGCCTAGGCGGATTTGGTCAGTGCCTGAGCCCATTTTTGCGCGCGCAAAAATGGGCTCAGGCACTGACCAAGCCCGCCTCGCTTCGCTCGGCATTTAATTAAATTAATTAAGTTGCCTAAGTCCATTTATGCGCTCGTAAACTAAATTTATTATTACTTTTAGGAGGCCCTGGGACAACTGTACAAATTGATGAGTCGGTCATAACGAAAAGAAAATACCACAGAGGGCGCGTGGTCCCCGAAAAATGGATTTTAGGGATTTATGATACCACGAACAATCTGGGATATATACAGCATGTTCAAAACCGTAGTGCCCAAGTGCTAATCCCAATTATCCAGAACCACGTGAGAGCCGGAAGTGAGATCTGGACCGACATGTGGAGAGGCTACAATAGTCTTCCACATCATGGATATATACACCGCACTGTTAACCATTCTCGATATTTTCGAGATCCAGTGACTGGTGTATGTACCAATCATGTGGAAGGCTATTGGAGCAAGCTCAAGCAATATTTACGGCGGTTGGGAGTAATTGGTTCTCCATTCTTATACGAATATATCGACCAATTTTTATGGAATGGTCTTTATGGGGGTACAGCAGTCAATCGCTTTAGTAATTTAATATTACATATATCCCAACGCTATCCGTAATTTTTTTAAATCTTTGTTTTTATTTTTTTTTTTTCAATATTTTTATAATTTAAAATTTTAATGTTCATTCATTTATTAAAACATTATTTTTCCCCACTAGATAGTAACTACCATATTGTTAGGTTTGTTCCTACCGAATATTTTGACTATTAAATGAACGTCATGAATATGTACAATAATAAAATTGCGCAAACAATTTTAGTATTGAGAATGTTCCCTGACTTTCACTCTATAGTCAAAACACTCGGCAAGAGCAAGCCTATTTTAGACCGATGAGCCATAAAGCCTGATTTATAGATTGCCTTCCTTCCTTCCTTCCTCCCGTAGAAGTTGAAGAAAACAAAAACCTGTTGTCCCGTAGGGAAATCTATAAATGGCACTACGATTTTCGTATTGTTCATCTTCTACGAGAGGAAGGAAGGAAGGCAATCTATAATTCAGGCTTTAGTTATGACTCGTCGTTGCGATAGTAATCTTGTCCAGTATGACAGGAATCTTCTCTAAAAATTTAATGTTGAACTTTAAACTGATTTTATAAACAGAATCACGCTCATAACGAGCGGACGGTGGTTCAAAACAATGTGACTTTAGTGGCGATCGACTTTCGCGTCGATCGTCACTGTAACCCTGTTTGTGCAACTTGTTGTTTGTACCTTGGTTTTGTCTAGGCCCAAAACCATGTGACTTTAGTGGCGGTCGACGTCCACGTCGATCGTCGCACTAGCCCTGTACTGTACAACTTGTACAATTGTACAGTTAACTGTTTGTACAATTTTTAATTAATATGAATGCATTTTAAAATTTAAATTTATAAACATATTTTTTAACTCTTGCATATTATTTAGATTATTTTGGTATTTTCGAATTAATTGTACCCACCTAACAACGGGAATAATAAACTCATTATTTACGTTGCTAGGCATCAGTGATTGGCCAATTTCAATATTCACTGTGATTTAAACCAATCAGGATTTAAATTGTGAAAAGTGAGATTGTAACTGTCTAACAGATGTCAGATTTTTACATATATACAAAGGGTAACTATAATTATCTTTAAAATCGAGAGAAAGTGAGGTTAAAATTTATTTTTTTAATAATAAAAATTACTTAATTGGAGTAAAAAAAGCATAA